CTGACAATCATCTTTCTATCATTTTTCCATAGCCCTTTTTTCCTTTTTTTTTCTTTTGTTTTGATTTTTTGTCTCCGAATTTATTTACGTTACAAGGCAGTGAGCAGAACTGTATCACACGAATCTAGTAAAATTTAATATGCTCTCAGCTTCGTATGTTCTGCTTGTTTTATTCTAGTGTTTCTTCCTTCGTCCAAGCAGGACAAAAACATGCTCTCGTCTGGCATCATGAACATGAGGAACACAAACAGAAACATATTATGTAAGCAGTCACAAATCTGTCACAACTCTTATTTTCCAGTATTTTTCTACTGTTAGTGACTTAAGATTTCATTACAGTTATCATGATCGTATAAAATAGGAGAGTGTGGTATAGATTTTTTAATAGGACAGATCCCTTCAATGGGGTGACATTCAGCCTCCTAAACAATCCAGTAGTTTTTTCCCTTTAGAGCAATCTTCACTCAGGAAGAAAGCTTTAAGTTATCTGGTCTTATTGATTCTGCCGTCAGGGGGGCCCCTCAGAAAGTATGGCACAGCTCAAACTGAAATAAAAGATGGATTGATTCTATTTTGCAAGGCTGCATCATCCCAAAACTTTGTTTATGTGAAACCAACGGTTTTGTCTTAGCATCTGACATCAGGATCTTCCACAGATAAATCACAGCGGCAGTACAAACTGCATAATGCTCTTTCTTTATTTTTCTTACCTGGGACTGTGCTTGAAGAGTTCGTTTCAGTTCGTCGCTCTCTGAAAAGGGCATGGAGCTTTTGTCACACGCTACCTTGTGTAGCTCTTCAAAGCACATTGCAGATTTGCTGTGGCAAACTGCATGTAAGTAGGCAGGATTTTTCAAGCCACTCATGGCACATTCGTAAAAAGTCCCGTTGAGCAAAGCCACAGAAAGCCACATCACTGGGGCTACCAGAGCATTTAAAGTGATTTGTCCGAAGATGTAAAAGAAATGGCAGATGTTCCCTCTGGGGAATATTTTTCTGGGATTCACCCAGCAGCCTGTAAAGAGTTTCCAGGTCTTGCTGTTCAAGAAATATCCAATAACTAGCAAAACGAAAGCTGGGGAGAAGAGAAATACCAAACCGTACCTGAAGTTTTCATTGCTGCAGGGGCATCTGAAAGCAACAAGAGAAAACACACGTTCACCTCCCATTGTCAGCAGTGCCATAAAACTGTAACCTATAGCAGTTTTCCGGTTCATAAAGAATTTCAGGATTGTTTGGAAACCATCCATGTCTGATAGTCACTAAAGAGGTAAAAATCAAGACCCTTTTATCTTCGGTCGTAGCAGTCTGTAGTGGTGTAGCAGGGGAGAGATCTCCAGAGGAAGAACAGCCTGCTGCTAGCCTGCCTGCGTACGCACTGTCTAGATAACGCCATGATGTCACTGTCTGGAGAGACGCGCTCACAGGGGACCCCTCCACTAGCAGCGCAGATGTTGCACATTTACAGTAACACTCATCGGCAGTAGAAGGAAAGCAAGCAATGCTCTATATAATCAAATAAGTTTGCAGTCTTGGCAGTCTTATTTTTGGTGGGTTGTTTTTTTTTTGTGACTGCAGATGGAGATCAGAGTAAAAACACACACACTCACCAGTTGCAGGAGTTCTTGAGCTGTGATTATCAAAGTTGCTGGCAATGTAGCGAAGGACCTAATATAGATGCTAATGGTCCCAGGGAGTGTGACATGACTGAAAGCGGACGAGTGATAATAGTAAAACCACTTTGTGTGGGGTTGTAAATGTAGGAACATCAAAGACAGAATAAGCAGCCTTCTGCTGTACTTCCCTGGAGTATTGCGTAGCTCCAGATTTGCATCTCTGGCTCAAGGTGATCACAGAAGAGACAAATCTAGTTTGATTTCCAGCCTGTCTGGCCCTTGCCCCTATTTTCCTAGGGTAAAGCTGGTCTACAAGATGCTGCATCCTAAAGTTTCGCCTCCGGTTTGCACACAACAAATTCAAGCAGCAGAGTTTCACCCTTTCGCAGGTTGCTTTCAAGATGTACCTTGGGGTCACCCCTAGCGTGAGCTGCAGCAGTGCCGCAGGAAATGAATTCTCCTTAATCCTGGACAAAAACCCACTAGTGGACTTTGTGGAGGAGCTGCCAGCGGAACGAGCATCACTTTGCTACTGTAACCTCCTCTGCGGGGTGATTTGAGGTGCCTTGGAAATGGTAAGGAAGTGCACATCTGTTTTCTCTGTTCTTTGTTAATATGCAGAGGCACAGGAAAGCAAAACTACTTGCTCAGATAAATGACGGAAATTTAGTAGTGTTTAATCTCTCTCTCAGATTAAATGTCTGTATCGAAATAAAAGAGGGCCAGACTCATCCTGGACCCTGAGGTAGAGAAGCACCCTGCTTGGCTCTTCAGTGGCTGACTCAGGTGCAAAAGTCAGGTGGGACCGGGGAGCCAGCTAACACATAATGTGGAGAGCCAGGGCGGCATGCTGGACGACTCTGCTGCTCCTTGAGCCTATCTCATTTTCCTGCATCGGTGTTACCAGTAATAGCCATCCCTGATTCTTTCCAAATACATGAAGATTAATATTCTCAGGTTACTGCAGCGCCTGCTGAAAGGGAGAACAAAGTGTGGATGAGTAGAATGTTAAAACCAAAGCATCAGAAGTGTATCAGATGGCATTCCAAATTTTGTTCTTAAATCTAAGACTTTTACAAAAGAATAAACAAAGGGCATCATTTGAAAGTCACCGGGTTGTACAGCTTCTGTGGCATTTTCTGGAAGATAACTTTTGGGCTGCTTTATGTCTCTGTCAATATCTAATTTGTCATATATCTTATGTTTCAAGAAAACAAAAGTTGTACAAGTATTATGTCTGTACGTCAGTCTCAGAATTATAGTATCTGACATAAGACTAATTATCAAAAGTATTATATCACAAGTATTGGTATGTGACCAGGAAATTTTGTGATCACAAAATCATTAAGTACACAATTTAGGTTCTCAGAAGAAAGCAAAGCACTGGAATGAAGGGTAATGTATTACACAAATTCCAGTGTATATAAATTGAGAAAGATATTTTAAAACAATCTAGAAGTCTGTTTCTTATGAAACCTGAGAAAGGGTATCCCCTTGTGGTAAGAGAGAGAGAAAAAGCTCGTTTCACTGGAGGAGGGGGAAAAACTGGGCATTTCTTTGCTGAACTGATCAGGCCTGATTCTTTCTAGGTTCACTTAGCAGCAGAAGTTACCTTCCTCCAGGACAGGCTGAAGGGTGATGCTGTGACGGAAATAGGAATTACATTTTTAAGGAAGGCTGAAGGCAGAAAGCACAAAAGAAATAAATGAAAGAAATACTGGGAGAAACGCTTGCTGAGGGATATTTTGTGCCTTTTGTTTCTGAAGAAGACATGCAGGGTAAAAATGGCTTCGCTGAGCCAGCTGCACCAGTCATGCATTTCAAAAGCGAAGAGAGCCGGGCAGCAAACAGGAAGGGCAGAGCAGGGGGAGAGCAATGTTAATTATCATGACACAGATATCAGTATAAAAGATCAAAATGGCCTGCCCTTCCTTCTCACATAACCATGCTCTTGAGCTCAAAGTTTTATCTCAGTATTTAGTGCACGCTGGATGCAAAATATTCATTCGGACACCAACTGTTTTCAGCTAAAATGACCACCTTTTCCCGTTTTGTTTGTTGGCAATGTTTCAAAGCATGGTTGCTAAGAGGTGCTTTATTTCCCTGGCTGTTTGTGGTTAGGAATAATGAATTCATCCGCTGTGATTGCTGTACTCAGTGTCTCTCTGTCAGGTGCCTGTTTTGATGCGTAATGATTTGGCATTCATTGTCCTCCACACCGGACGTCCTGCTCCTTTTGAAAGCAGAGGGGGCTGTGGCTTCACTGATGGCAGTTGCCGGTTCGGTTCATTGCGGCTCTTTCAGGCCCCACATGCAGTTTTGCTGGCATCCCTGTCCAGCCCCATGCATACGTCAGGCTGCAACACTCTGATGACTGCAGCAATGCTCGTGTTGCTTCAAGCTATGGGCCTTTTCATGTCAGTCTTCTCTTCAAGACCACTGATCTTATGACCAAACTGAACAAAGCATGGCGTATTTAATGTGTAGTCGCTGTGGATCTGTACTCACCTAAGGAAACTTGAATAAAAATTCGGAGATTGCCACACAACTGGTTTGCTGGTCATTGTGTCTGTTCTTACCTGACCTTCATCACCGGCTGTTGAACATCTTGCCCTTGGCAGTGGACTTGTTACCACAACATGACTGGGAAGTAGAGAAATAGCAGCCTCGCAGAGACCTGAGTTATAGGAAAGGTTTACTGTTGTCTGGTGTAATGCAAGATATCTGGGTAAGGGTTGGACAAAACCCAAGTCCTAGCACAGTACCCTACCCACAAAGCCAGCTCACCTTCTTCTCACCAAAGCACTTGTTTTAAACCGAAATTCAAACCCTCAATTCAGTTCAGTGAAGCCCAGAGTTAGCTCTGGTTTTATCGCTGTGATTTGTACCTTCATCTCCTATTTTTCCCTCAGTCTGTTTACCTCAATCCTGCTAAGTGAGGGGCACTTCTTACCTTGGGGACAGCAGGGTTCATTCCCACCAGGTCTGTACAATCCTCATGATAATCTTTCTCCCTTCGTTTGTCTTAACAGTGTCATAAAGTGGTGGCATAGCGTAATGGAGCTTTAAGAGAACAATTTTGTATGGAACAAAAACTAAGCTATTCATTATCCAGCCTTGGGCTCAGCCCAACCTGCTCAGAATAACCAGTTACAACATGTAACAACGTGTTACAACTAGTAATAAGTTTCCCTATTTATTTATTTATTTTTTTGATCAGGGCTGAAAGGTCTTGTGGAATTTGCTTGATTTCACTGCCTGTGCAGGAGCCTTCAGTGGTGTTTTTGCTGGTTATGCCCAGCTGGCCGAGATGGACATGGGGCAACTTTGGCTGACCACAAAAAGGTTCTTTACAAGGCAATGGCCGTTTTTCCTTTTTCCAGCAACATCCTACCAACCAAATATTCTCTTTTTATGATCATCTTGAAAGTGAATAACCTATACTGTCCTTGTCTTGTTAGATACAATTCTCTTACTTAAAACTCTGATGCATTAGACTTGCACGCAGGTGTGTGTGCATGCACACACCTATGGTCACATTTTCTGTCGAGGTCTGCGCCAACTAAAAAGCATCAGTCACCACATTGCAGTGACACGTAGGCTGACTCCTGTGTATTCAGGGCCTATTAAAGAGTTTTTGCCTGCAGGCATTAGCTAGCAAAGTCAGGGCTGGATATTACAACATTTTTAAAGCAAGGACCATTAGTGTCATCCCGGGGCCTTTGCAGTCTTGCCACACTGGCTTTGGTGTGGCCAAGGCTTCCTCCCCATCCTTCAATGCCAAACATTTGCGGTGATGCTCCATGTAGGACATCAAAGCTGTTTCTTTAGGTTTCAGTATTTCAGAATAAACAGCCCAAGGAAATCTTCGCTTCTACTTGGACACAGTAAGTTTTGAAGGATAAGTTTCCACTGTGCAAACAAACATACAGCAGAAATGCCTGAGCCAGTCAAGGCAGCACAGATTTGAGATCAAGCCAAGAGGCGACACGAGACTGCCAGACTAGGCTGGGTGCTAGTTCATACTCATGTCATATCCCGCTTGTGCATCTGGTTGTACAGCATCATTCCTCTTGGCTCAGCTCTGCTGGGCAGACATGCTCAATGCACACATGTTTTGCCATCAGTGTTTCTTCTGTTTTCTTTCTACACTGGATCACCTCATCCACTGTATTCTAAAGATGGAGTAAGTAAAAGTTAGGTAGAAAAACGGCAATAAACAATAGAAAAAACAGTGACCCACACTACATTACCATTAGCTGCTGACATTAGCTACTCTGCACATACAGTTTTTTGCTTGTCTTGCTTGGTAGCATATTCACAGAAGTGTTCCTCAGTGTTTCGTTTTAGTGTAGGCCCTTCTCTTGGAGGTGTCTAATGGAGCACTTACAAGTGTGCTGAAGCTTCTCTTTGAAATTTCTTTCTTTATAAATGTAATTACGTACAGAAGACATGAGTGTTACATAAAGGTGAGGAAAAATCAAAATTCTCATGACTGCATACAAAACCAATATATAAATATCTGCTTCTATCCTTATACATAATTTTTTTCCTTCCCCCAAAAGTCACTTCATCTGTGAAAAATAGACTGCCATCACTGCCAGCAAACTTGAAGATATGCATTGCAGTCCCAGTTGAAGCCTTTGCTCATTGATTTTAATTAGAAGTGCCAGCTCTGTGTCTTCCCTGGAAAGCCGAGGCAGCTTTGGTAATGACACACTGGCAGTTGCGACTGTGAGTGGGAAGTGGCAAAAGCCCACCCAAATGTAGCTGAGAGGAGTAACACAAATTCTGAGGGTGTTTTCACTGCAGCTTCTCGTCAGGAACTGGAGTAAGGCATGGCTTGTTCCTGGAGGCTTTCAGTCTATCCTAAAGTATTTTATTATATCCCTAAGGTAAAGCCTGGCCCCACTGCATCAAGGAATGTTTTGGCACTGGTCGTGGTGGGGCCAGGACATTGTTTTCTTCCCATTTATGACATTCCGGAGTAGATTTATCTTTCTCTAGACGTCAATGAACAAATGAACTCTTCAATATGAGACATAAAATGGAACATTGTTAACTGAACCGTGCTTCCTGGAGGCACAGGTAACAAATTGGACACTTGTTACTCAACTATCATCAAGTTTCTTGGAAGGAAAAGAGCACTGAGCAAGTCACTGACTCTGTGACAAAATGAATGCTTTTAAAAATTCTTTTCTACATACAGAGTTAAATCTTGTTTTCCCTTTAAGTGTTATATTTTCAGTTTATAATAAGAATGAAGCTTCCAAGCTAGTTATATTCAGCTAGTTAAAACAGGCTCTTCCCTTCCTTCTTCCTTGGAAAATGACTGTAACAAACAACTTCATGGGATTCCTCTCTGTCTGTCTGAATAGTTTCCAAGTTAAGACCTTACTGTCTAGAAGGATAAGATTTCTAGGAGGAGTGAAAGGACAGCCCGGACCAAACAATCTGACTCACCTCTCTAAAAGGTGAGACTAAAATCTGACTCACTCATGCTCTCTAAAAAAAGCTTTTCAGAGAAAAACGGAACTTTATCATGCTTCACTCAAAACTATCTTTGTTTCTTATAATCAGATGTTCTTTGATAAGAACGTTATTATTTGCTAATATGGATTGCGGACTTATAATGTCCTTAAGTATGTAGCTGTGCTATACAAATGTTTGTTAATATAAGCTTCACCTATACTGCCATGTTATGCATAAGCCTAACCCCTCAAGACATGCTAATTTGCACTTAGACTCCATTCTGGATTGTCCTGGTTTCGGTTAAACCACAACATGGATCAAGTTAAATAGTGTCTTTGACAGCGACATCCAGGTGTAGCTTAGGTACTGATGCCAGGACCAAAACCCTATATGTAATATTATATATGAAAAAACCCCAGAATAATTATGGGGTCATTCAAGGTCAGGTTGGACGGGGCTCTGAGCAACCTGATCTAGTTGAAGATGTCCCTGCCCACGGCAGGGGGGTTGGACTAGATGACCTTTAGAGGTCCCTTCCAACCCAAACTATTCTATGATTCTATTCTATGATTCTATGAATTACATATTTTTCAGAAAAAAATAGAAAAAAAAAAGGAATATAAACAGGGAGTTTAATGTTGGTGTGTTTTCCCTGCAGCATTCAAATGCCTATTTTTTTCCATTAAAGAACTTTACAATTACAGGAAATGAGCAGTAGAGCTAATTAAGAAGGTCTGCTGCAAAAGGTGATCAAGATCAGGCAGTGGTAAAGAAAATTCGCCATCATGGAAGTTTTTAGTTTCAGTGTTATTACCTAAAGCTGCTGAGTACATAGGGGTAAAAAGGCTGGAATCTTTTGGTCATCTGTTCAGACTGATAAGCAGCTGAAGTCATTCTGATGGACTCCTTTGTTATGCACAGGTAGCTCCAAAATGCTAATCTCTTCCCAGATTTTAAAAGATATGGTCCTTGTCTTGAGAAACTAATTGACTGAAAATAAATATTTTAGTCAATTAGGCTCCACTGAAAGAGATAGTGTCAAGTGACAGCTAACAAATTCAGCAAACTAAGCTGAATTTCTGATCAAAACTTCCATTCCATTTTGTCTCTTTGATACTGCCAGGTACGAAGGTTTGGCATTGCCGCTCCAGCTGCCAAATGCCCTTAAGGTGTTTGGTAATAATTTGACATACTACATGCTGACATCTTTGTGGTTGCTTATTATTTTACATGTGAC